GAGAGAGAGAGAGAGAGAGAGAGAGAGAGAGAGAGACAGTATGGCTCATGTCTTCTCCACAAACACAGATAAAATTCAATTTTTAAAAGCATTGAATGAATTTTATCTTGAGATTAGGACAGAACCTCCAAAATTTCCTGAAATGTCTCTAAGCAGAAGTCTGCCAGTTTGAATTATGTATTTTTATGCAAAGCAGAAACCTCACAGCTGATGCAGTAAAATCGAGATATAGATGGACTCAGAGTCATTGAAGCTGCCCAGTGTCTACAGTATAAGGTGTTCTGCCATTTCATCCTTTATATAAAAACCAACAGGAAAGCCCATCCTATTAGTATGCAAATTTGCTTTCGTCTTTAATAAATGGTAAGATTATATGTCATATGATAGCTTTTATCCATCTGACATTATCCTAGACATCTCTAGGAAGAGGGCACCTCAACTGAGGAATTGCCTCCATCAGACTGGCCTGTGAATATGCCAATGGAACAGTTTCTTAATGATTGATGTGGGATAGCACAGTCTTCTGTGGATGGTGCTACCCCTGGAGAGATGGTTCTGGGCTACATAAGAGGCTAAGCACATGGTAAATTAGCCAGTGAGCACCATTCTTCCATGGTTTCTGCTTTGGTTCCGGCCTCCGGGTTCCTGCTTGAACTCCTGCCTTGACATCCTCTCATGACAGACTTTGATTTGGATGTGTAAGCCAAATAAACCCTTTCCTCCTCAGACTAGCTTGGTCAGTGATTCAATACAGTGACAGAGACAAAAAACAAGATATAAATATACTCTAGAATTGTTTTTAAATAACTTTATTACTTTTACTAGTACATGTTAGATTTATAGACCTATTTTTATATGTCTCTGTTCCCAGGGACACATAAAAATTTTCTCATATAAGGCTGGAGAAATGGTTCATAGATTAAGAGCACTGGCTCCTCTTCCAGAGGACCTGGTTTTGATTCCCAGCACTTCTGTGGCAGCTCACAATCTTCTGTAATTCCAGTTCCAGAGGATCCGATGCCCTCTTCTGGTATCCTTGGTCTATATGCATACAGATAGTATACATACTTACATACATACATACATACATACATACATACATGCAAAACAGACGTACAAAAACATAAAAATAAATCTTTTAAATTTTGTACTTAATTTCTCAAGTTTAAAGAAGGCTTGTTCTTGTTTGTTTATTTTGTTTTACAACAGGGTCTCACTATGTAGTTCTTGCTGGTCTGGAATTTGATACATAGACCAGGCTGGCCTAGAACTCAAAGATCCCCCATTGCCTCCTGCTGCTTCTTGGGTTCTGGGATTAGAGGTATGTGCCACTATGCCTAGCCAAAGCTGTAATCTTGAGATTGTAGACTGAGTCCTAAATTGAGTCCTACACTGGGTTTTCAGTGTCTCAGATTCCAAGGTTTGTAGGAAGCCGCGGCGGGTGCTGGCAAAATCCGCCATTGGAAGATGGCGCTGGCTTCTGGGATTCTTCCTAGTAAACAAGTAAATTGCGCATGTGCCATGGTAAAAGCCCGCCAAAGTTAAAGCCCATCCCACGGCGTTTTGGCGCGCAACGAGTAAGCAGCCAATCAGAGGTGAATACACCGCTCTAAGGGTATATAAGCAGTGCTTTTCCCGGGCCTGGGGTCGTCTTCCACCATTTTGTTTTTTGGAAATAAACGTGTTCCTACAGAAGGATCCTGATGTGTGTCCGAGTGTGCGTTCTTGCTGGCGAGAGGATTACACGCGCGTCCCACAAAGGTTCCTACATTCTGGGTTTTGGGGGGTGGGGGATTTACTTTTCTTTTGTTTCCAGTCTAACTTTGTAGCCTAGGCTGGCCTTGAACCCATGATCCTTCTGCCTCAGTCCTCCAAGTTCTAGGATTACAAATGTCTACTCCTAGAAAGACTTCACATTTCTAAGCAGAAATGCCCAGACATGAAATGGGAGTCTCCATATCTCTACACTTTTACGCCTGGGTGGAGGGAACTTTCTATGGCTTGGGCAGTTGCCATGGTGAGGTTAAGACCCTCCTACTGTTCTTCTAACTGACTCTACTTTTAAGGCTCAACACCACTGGACTCCACTAATCCCTGCTTCCCACTTCCTTTAATCAACTCTTGATTAAAGTTACTACGTGTTTGTATCCTCAGCTACTCCTGTCTAATCTGGGCACTACAACACACCTGAGAACCAGGAACTGTAGCTTTGGGGGCAGGCAGAGAAGACTGTGAGACACCAACAGAGGTAGCCAAGAGAGCACAAGGAAAAACAAAATCTGCTCCAAGAGAAGAAGAAAGGACACATGAAGAAGATGAAGAGAAACAGTTCCATCTAACCTAGGCAGCAAATCTAAAGCAGTCACTAGGACTGCGTGGAAGATTCACACGTACATCCAAGAAACACTTGTCAAGAGTTCAAGGACACGATGCATAACCTTGTGGTCTGAATAAATAAGGTTGTTTACATGGAGAGACAACTATCCAAGCTGTAGATTAACACTAGAAATTGAAGACTTAAACAACACACTAAACATCTTGAGGATTAAAGAAAAGTGCAGATGCTAACTGGCCACCATAGCACTAGGAGGCTGAGGCAAGGGGAGTAAAGTTAAGAAGGTAAAGGCCACCCACAAGGCCACAAGGCCACACAATGTGTCTGAAAAAGAAAGGGGGTGTGGGGGGAAGGAAGGAACGAATGAGTGAAAATGAATGAATGAAGTAGTATGTAGGAAAGAGAGGATAATTACTGTGTAAGACTGGGGAGATGGCTCAGCAGAAAAGAACAATGGCTGCTCTCCTAGGGACCCAGGTTTGATTCCAAGCACGTACATGGTGACTCGAGACAGACTATAACTCAAGTTCCACAGGGGCTGATGCCATCTTCTGGCTTCCTCAGGCACCAAGCATGTGGGTAGTACACAGGCCTACATACAGCAAAGACACACATGCATGTAAAATAATAGTTCATATATATATGGGGGTGGTTAAGAGCACGTCTTGTTCCTGCAGAGGACCTGGGTTCAATTCCCAGCACACATATGGTAGCTCACAACCATCTGTAATACCAGATCCAGGGAATCTTATGCTCACCCCTAACCTTCATTATATGTATGTGGTACACATACACACATGTAAGCAAAACATCCATATGCATGGTGAATAGATAAATCTCTTTTTTTTTTCTTTTAAAAATAATCAGGGGCTGGGCATTGATGAAACATGCCTTTCCTCTCAGCACTCAGTAGGTATAGTCAGGTGGATCTCTGAGAGTTTGAGGCCAGCCTGACCTACCAATTGAGTTCCAGGACAGCCAGGGCAGTTACACAGAGAAACCCTGTCTTAAAACAAACAAAAAAAGCAACAACAACAAGAAGTCATGGGAAATATTATAAGCTATAACACATAATATCTAAACAAATTCAGGGAACTAGGAGATGACTACTTAGGTAAAGTTCTTCCCAGGCAAGCATGAGGGTCTAAGTTAGAATTCCTAACATACCCATAAAATCTGGCTTTGGGACTACATGCCTGTAATCCCACTGCTGGAGATCTGTATACACAGGAAGTTCCCTGGGGCTCGCTGGCCAGCCAGTCTATCTGAATCAGCAAGTTCCAGGTTTAGTAAGGCAGGCAGGTGTCTGTGAGTTTGAGCCCACCCTGATCTACATAGTAAGTTCCAGACCATGAAGAGCTACATAGTGAGTCCCTTTCTCAAAAAATCAAAATAAGATGGAGAGTGATTGAGAAAGACACTTGACATCCAACTCCATCTTCCACATACACTTGAGCCATTTGTTCATGCAAACTTGGACATAGATGTGCGCGCGCACACACATGAATACAAACACAAGTGCATGTGAACACACACATACACACGCATGTGTGCATACACACATAACCAGTCGTTTCAAATGCAGGAAGGGAAGAGAATGCTTCCAACACAGTACATGAACCAGTATCACCCTCGTGCCAATGCCAGACAACAGCATGAAGAAATGTATTGTAAACCTTGACCAGAGATCCTTGTTGGGATTTAAAGGCATGTAGCACCGCTGTCTCTTACTGTCTGTCTTTTCAACTCCGACTGCAGCGTCTTCCTCTCCATTTTTTCTGCCAAGAGCCCTGGGCCCACTTTGGATAAAGCTCTGATGGGACCACTGGGAGGACCAACTACCAAGTCCTGCATGGCCATGCAGAAGGGATGATGTAACATGTTTTCCAGCCCCTAGAGCAGGGACAGCAGGGTGTGGGCCTCCATGAATATTGACAGTTGCTCTGGGATTAAGGCTTGTTTTTATAATGATGTACATATTTTCATGTTCCTTCTTTGGGGAATGGCCTCCCTGTTAGGGTTAATGACTCCATGATAATTAGAAACAACAGATTCCAGCCAGTTAACATTTACTGAACACAAGACTATAGAACATAAGAGGACAGGAGCCCAGTGATCTGAGACACCACCTTGGCCAGCAAGCCTCCACAGATTGAGAAGGAGCTGAGAGCCATATGCCCAGTCTCCTGTCACAGAAGTGTTGTCTTCATCTCCATTCCATACATTGTTTGATGCCTTATGTGATCTGCCTTGACTCTCACTCTGGCTCTCTCCATTTTCTGCTCCCCAGGCTTCCTGACTTCTCATTGCTTGTCCTGTACAACCCTCCCTGACCACACCCACCATGTTACAGTCCCCTCCCTGACCACA